GCTTTCAAACGAAACAAGATTTCACTTTCTGATACGATGATGAACAGCTAACAAGCATTTAATGTCACTGCCATAAGGGTGGCATCCCCTATTTACAAAGGGATGCTTACCAGGGAAATTTCATCGGCATCTGCAGATTTGCAATGAGCTTTCTTTGACAAGTCACTGGTTCACTGCAAACTGATGCTGCTCCATCTGTACACATTCCCTGACACACGTACCAAAATACAGAAGTTTTCTCCCCATCTTAAGTGATCTCCTAAAATTGTTCTCCTCTTAAAACGGAGACAGGGAAGTGAAAAATCTAATGCCAATAGAGCTTTTAGATGAGTCAAATCCACTTTGGTTTAGAGAGAATGTAAAGAATATGCCACTGAATTTACAGATCAAAACCAACTACGGCTAATGCTCTGCTTTTCTGCAAAAATGGAAGACAGATCTGGAACTTAAAAAAACCTGAAATGCCACTGTGACCAGACTTAAGGTCTGGGCTTTTTTTTGACTAAAGGCCAAAAAAAAGTTCTCCAGTCTAGGGTTCTAGTTCTATCTTGTCCACAAACCTGCCTCTGGCAAGGCTCCTACAAACTAATTTGCGGAAACACATCTTAAAGTGCTATACAGGTAAGGTATATGAAAGCAACATTATAGATTACTTCCTTCTAATTTCCAATACTTAAAAACAAGCTGATGCTCTGAAGCTTAAGCTTTTAAGTGCATTTCAAGTTCGTTGTGTGGCTGTCTTTTTGTTTTAATGGAAATGATAAATACATGTTTCAATGAAATCTACAGGTGCAGTTTACCTCAGTATTTCTGAGGAAGCCCTTTACATTGTTCCAAAGGTACAAAGTTCTTGCATTACAAAAAAAAAAAAAAGGAAGCAGAAAATCCTGATGTGCATCCTCTATACGCCTACTGCTGTAATTACTTTTCTTCCTTTTCCTACTTGTGTAGTTCAAGCAGCTGCTATACACAGAGCTCCTATGGCACTTTCCATAACGATATTAAACACTGTCTTACCTTGCTTTCCCCCTCATCCAAAATTCATGCAGAACTTAAAAAAACATTAACATAATCTCTAAGTGACAGTGATAAAAATAAAGTTGTAGCAACGATTTCAGTCTGAGGTCACATCTTTTGCTTAATACCCCATACGGCAGCTCCAATATTTGAAACAACAGAAGGAAAAAGTCTGTGTGTGTGTAACGCTGGTACGATCACTAGTAACGAACCAAGCAGGCGTTGTACTTCACCAACTCCATCCACTCAGAATGACCTGCTTCCTACCCAGACGTTCTTTGACTATCACGAAAACATACTAACTTATCCGGAAGGCTTAAGAAAAACTGTAGGAACTGTGAAAAATGACCAATGGACAATAGCAGTAGCTGTAAAAAACAAAACAGTGCAAAACACAAGCTCAACATGACAGTCCGATTATCCAATTCAATATAAAGAAACAATCTTCTTAAAACAAAACAAACAAACCATGACCCAACACCCCCCTCCCTCAATAATTTGAAGACCCTTACTACGAGGCCTGTGAAGGCACTGAGAAAGTCAGACAGCATGTTTGTACCAGATGCTCCCCTAGACAAGAATCCTGCTGACACAGGCCTAAGGACCCCTCCTCCTACCCCCATTCTTTTGATCTCGTGTCATCTTTTATGATTGCCTGTGCTTGGCATGAGAAGACCCTCCTTTCATACTTATTTCTTTCCTAGATTTTAAAGTCTGTGAATTCTCCTAACACGAAACTGCTCTGAAGCTGAGCCACAACAAGATTTCACTGCCATTTAAGTGGTGCAGCTGAAGACCTCAAGCCCACTTCAAAGATGTTAGATCTGAGTCTTGGAGCAAAGTTCTTATCTTCAACTTGGAGCACTCGGGTTTTAGACTCAGCCTACTCCACAGCCAGGTATTATGACAGGAACTCTTATCTGATGCATTAGTCTTAAAAGCCTGCTCTAAGGAAGAACTCATATTAACTGCATCCTTTTATTTCCTGTTCAAAAGCACAAAATGCAATACCCAAATTCCCCTTACCAAGTCAGTCAATAGGTGTGTCCACCTAAAACAATTTCTTCAAACTGATCCCCTTTCCTCTCTCTTTTCTAGACACATTAATGGAAAATTCCCAGCACTACCTAAAAAAAGAAAAACCAACACAAAAAAAAACCTACCAGAGAAAATAAAGATGAATGCAAAGCTTCCATCTGATGAGGAACGTACAGGGACATAAGAGCTGTCTCCCTGGAAGCTGGGAATTCAGAAGCAACAAGGGCAAAAACTCTCCAAACCTTCTGTTTCTGAATACTGGAACAGAGGAGTATGTTTGCACATACCATTCAACAGCTTTATTGTTTTCAATGGTTCTTCAGACTGGTGAAAGTGGCAGTATCATGGAAGAAATTAATTTCTCCTTCATTTTCAATCAACATTAGTATGACTGTAATAATCAAAAGCTTCAACATTATAAACATGAATTCAACTAAGATTGCCTCTGAAAGTGTTAGTGGTCAAAAAGAAGTGGAAAACAAGCCCTTGTATTAAAACACAGTGATACAAAAGAGTGTGGTGATCCTCGGAGGGGGGAAAAACCCAACAGGATTTTCAACCTATATTAAGCACAGAAAGGTAAACTTCTGATTCATTCACATGCTATTTAGGGTCACAGCACGTATTTGTGGAGGATCTCCACATGATAAATAAATGCAAGACTCAGTAAGTTAGCTATGTCAAACAGATTTTTTTTCTTCTTTACTGGAGTGACTTAAGGAGGTCACAAGTGAGAAAGCAACAGGAATAAGATTTTGTATTTTCTTGGCTCAAATGATAAAAACATAAACCACAATACAATGCGTACAACTAAAGATTTCAAGGAAAACTCCTTCGAGCTCAGCAGCAGCTAGCAGCTTGTCTCTATTTGCCGTCACTCTAGATCAGAAGAGCCTACAGGCTTTTTTTTTTTTTTTTTTCTTTCCTGCCCCTTTCAGTTACACTTGAGCTCTTTGACTGAAAAGGTCTGGAACAGATTAAAAGTCTGACCACAAAATAAAGAGTCTTGGCATGTACTCAAGCCTGTCTGGGATACACATACACAGTGGGCCCAAAAAGGGAAGCTATGCAGCAAGAAACCCTTATGTAGTCTTTTGGACATTTCTAACTTCTTTCAGTTTAACTGCACAGCCTTAACTTTGATGGAGTTTCAATATGCACAAGACAAGTAGCTTTTGCCCTTACAGTCAGACCGTACTATTTACAGAAGCACCAAAGAGTTCTGAGAAACAAGATCTGGATCACTCATGACCTCTGTCAATTTAAGCCTTTTCCACACTCCTTTTTAATTCCAGCTCATCACTAGAAACTACAAAGTAATACAAAGAAAAGCAAAATACATACCCTGCAAGATTACTTAAGTAAATATAATTGACCTGTCTCTTTTAACTGCAAAAGGCAACAATGATTTTCAAAACGACTGCTTCCTTTTCAGACTTATTCACATATTAAGTAATTGTGAAGCTGCAAATTACCTACACACTCCTCTTGCTACGTGCAAACAGGTCTGCAGCTCTGGCTGCTGGTAAAGCCAGCATGGACATTTGCCAAAGCCGACAGCCTTCAACATACGCCCCACCTTTGGGCGTAAGTTGCACAGTGGTTCAACCTGTCTACAAACTGGTGAGCAGTTTATAAACAAAGTGTGACAATCTGGTGTCCTCCACAAGAGCAAACGGATGTTTAGAGTAAGTGTGTTCAAGCCTACAAAACAAAAATACTGAAATTTCTAACAGCCATTTCAGAAAAACAAAACAGAAGAGCGACTGCTGAGTTTTGCAGCTCTGTGTTTATATGGCATTCATGGAGTTAATGCCTCTCCCAAAAGGGGCCCACAGTTGTTGTTAGGTCAACCCCTGTAAAGCTTCAAAGGCTTTGCATCCCCTCAGCCTGACCTACTCAGTGATCTGCACACTGTTTTCATTTAGTTGCACCGAGTCCAAAACTAAAGCCTGGAAACCACAATGATGTCTTCTTTTTTTTACCCCTACTGTTTTTTCCATGGCTCTGGAAAAATAGCTAAAATCCAAAGGAGTTGAAAATAGTAAGTTATTAGGAAAACAAATCAAGGGTAAATTAATTCAGCTAATAAAGCTTACACACACAGGTCATGGCTTTATAAATAAACCCTAAAATTGTAATAGCACCTTAAATACATCAGAACAATCACTCAGACAATCTAAGACACTAGTTTAAATTCTCTTAATATTATATGCTGTTGCTCTGCATAGTCATCAGTGCCAATATTTTATTTAATATTTGCAGTTCTGCTTTCCAAGTAGATCAAAAATATTACAAAAACCGAGATACCAGTTCTATTTTGTTAAATTTTTATATCTAGACCTTGTGACCCCTACTTTTCTATTTCCAGTATTACATCATTTTTACTCCACAAAAAGAGTATTACAGTAGGAACAACAAAACTAATCATTTCTCTCTATTGTTTAAAACAGAAAGTTTTGTCATGATCGTCACTGTGACAAGCTGGAATTATAAGCTGGTATATGTTTCACGTTATTTAAACAGCATAAGTTATTATATGACAATGCCTTCTTTCGGATAGAGCAAAGGAAAGTAAGTGTTTGTTTAGGAATTAAAAGATTCTTCTGTGGTAAAGTTTTGCAGTTTTAAAAGGGAAGACTGAGGTTCGCTGAAACTGCCTATAGGTAAGTAATTTCTGAATGTGATCAATTTTAGGAACTATATGGATCATATGGCAAAATCTCAGCCCTTAGCGTTAGAAACTTTGGTGGCGTACACTCCTACAGGAAGTATGCTAATATTTTTTATTATTTTTTTAAAAAAGATGATTTAAATAAGGCACCTATAATTCAAATAAAAATATATTTTAATTTTACTATAAAAAGTTCTCAAAATATGCCTGCAAAATTAAAGCTGAGTGAACTGAAGCGAATCAAAAATTCTCAAGTGAGATGAACTTTTACCAAAGCGTGGGTCAAGCCTTGGGTCTAGCCAAGATGTGGTCTTGTTCTTATGGTTTATGTAGTAAATTTCTCCATCCTGGGTCATAGCTTGTTCCCATCCATCGGGGAGTGGGCCTGCAATATAGAAGGAAGGAATTGATGGCGAGCTCGTTTGCTCCAGTTGAAATTGATCTAAAAAAAATTCCAACATTTTACATATATAACAGTACATGAAATGGAAGAGTTTCAAGCTCGTATCTTACATTTCTGGGATAAGGGCAAAGAAGTGGCGGGTGGGAAATCAAAGAACATAAAGCACTTCTATCATTTCGATTTGGAGTTTAATTTTGTAACTTGTTTGCATCCTTTCATGTGCTTTTGACGCTTCCTTTTGCTACAGCACTATAGTACAAAACCAGCAATAAGTCAAGCCTGCCAGAATGAAACCAGCATGAGCACCAGGAAAAAGAATAAGCATAGAGACATTCTGCTTTTCATGGGAAAGTTCATCTAGCGATTAAGGCCCAGCAGAAGCAACAAGGTAACACTGACAAGATCCTGAAATCCTCCATCTTTCACGAACAATTAAAAAAAGTGACAAAACTCATTTTCTCTTTACTTCATACCATAACCACCTGCGAAAGCGTTAAAGGCTTAAGTAAGCAAAACCACAAACATGAAGAACAGGAGGCAAACAAGCAATGAAAAAGTAAAGGTTGGAAAACACCAGGAGCAGAGACAGGGCTACGCTGCTACAAGCAGGAAGGCGCAGACAGGGAAACCTACGTTTAGGAAATGGTAAAAGGGAGGTAGGTGATGGTGTTCTGGAGCCCAGTGCTAATGTCTGAATACAGTCTTGTGTGTTTCCCTCATGTTCCGAACAGCAGCATTCAAGAAAACCACTCTTCATCACTACACAGTTCATAAACAGCTCTTTCCCATCTCTATATGATCATTTCTTTGCTTCGACTGAAAACTACTCTTCAAGTTACATTCATCTCATCTTGCAGGTGCTTTACAAATGTAAATGTAATGTTTTTCAATTCTTTTACTCACATAGATATGGGCTTTCAAAAATACCTAAATTAGATACAAGAACGTCTTGCCTGTATTTCTTTAGATTTAAGCACAATTCTAAAATGATATAGCAAAAGATCCACTACAAACGTTAAGAATATAAAAGAAATTAGAACAAGACCTGCTGCTGGAAGCCATCATGTTTCAGCCTCTCCTTCCACTCTTCCTCAGTGTAATACACTATAGCAAACAGTCACCTAGCTGTTAGACTGGGACTAACAGACTATCTTGTAAAACGTCAGATACATTTAGTACGCACGAACACCATAATTTCACACGCGATTCAGATATACACATACAAAAAATGTGTGTATTTGATAAATGCCCTGAAGTGTCTACTACACCCATGCTAAAACTACGTTAGCTCTTTGCCTGTCATTTTGTCCTAATGTTAACGCTCCGGGTGAAGAATTCATTGTCTAAAGCTGGAGGGTGGGGAAGATAGATTTGTTTGCTTAATCTCAAAAGATGTTATTGAAGAAACGTCGAAGAGAGTAAAATAATAATTCAATGCCATTCCAGTAATATCCCAAGGCATAACCAGGACAAGAATTTCTTACTGTGGTCTTTGATGATCCTCTGCAAACTACATTTCTAATTTAAACTCTTTCATTTTGGCTCAGAAAACTATGCCTTTTTTGAGCAACCTCACTACTCTACCATTAGAGCTACAGGTTTTTGAGTGAGGAAAAACAGTGATTTGTTGGACATTGGACATTTCCTTTCCATCCTTAATGTTCACAAGCTTTAAATGCAGCATACAAGTATCAAGAGTACTTGAGCTTTTATCAGAGGCTAGTGAACAGAACAGGCAAGAAAGAGTGACGATGTTGCAAAGCATTCATAAATCCTAACATATTCACAGCATAACAGGACTTTGATGCGGAATTGAAAGCTCAATGACAAAAACCCTGTACTTTGCTACCATAACCAAAGACCAGCCAGCTCATCAGTGAGATGCTGTTTCATAAAACTGGGGCACAGGAGCACGGTGACATGCCCCACATCATCCAAGTGTAAAAGCCAACGAGGAACCAAAAATGATCCCTGGCTGCTAAGTCAAAACACTCTAGCCTTGTGGGCAGACCTTCTTGCAATTATTCTTCTCAGAGTCCTTATAAACCACACATCCCTTCGAGATGAAACTCAGCAAGAAATTATCTTCTGGCCTGCAAAGCCAAAAAATCCAGCTGGCTCTAGGAAAAACCAAACCAGCCTTGGGGTGTCAG